ACCACATATGTTGACATGGTAAAGGGAATATAAGCATATATGAATGCATGTTTGAAATATGTTAATGAAGAGTGGCAGCAAAGGCTGTCAGTCCGTCCATTAAATACATTGATCTAAAGAAAAACATCTCAGAAACCGGATTACCATGAAATTTTGTATGAATGTTCAAAAACAATGTTTTTTAATGCCTTTAGTGACACTCAAACACATTAGGTCAGAGTTAGCTCTTAACCAAAACTTTGGTCCATGATGTAGTGTATAGCTGCAACATTAAGTCAACTAAATGTATCTATTTTGATCAATCAATTAATAATTTTAAATAATCCTTTAGTGAAAAAATATATTTTTTTGCAGCTTTTCCAATGAGATAACCTTTTGATTCTGGACTGCTGTTCGCACAAAACAGCCTTATGAAAAATTTAAATAATCATTACTTGCAGCTCTGGTAGTGCCTTGAAGACTGCTGACCAGATTTGAAAATCAGAATGAATTTCTGACCTTGAGAACAGCTGTTTGACAAAATATTGTAAGAATCAAGGTCCATTTATTTCAGAGCATCTTATGGTCTTCATCAGTGAATATAGACAACAAAGTAATTGCCAGATTTGCACAAAATTTGGTGTGCATATTCATGATTCTAACAGACCTAGTTATAGTTATCAAAAGGTAAGGGACACCATTTTTCGATTTTGTCTTGGTAGGCATATGGCATGCGAGCCCTGCACCCACTGTTCCAGAGAGCGCTCCCAAACAGGTCCATAACATAATGACTACAGACAGAAATAAAAAGAGATCTGCATAATACATATAAAATTAATAATAAAGTCATAAATATTAAATGCTCAGTCCAAAGTCAAAGTTAGTCCTGTAGACTGGGACAAAATTGGAACTTTGTGTTCAGCTACAAAAAGGTGACCACATGGTTTTATTAGCATTCACTGACAAAAAAGGAGTCACTGCACACGTCCCACAATACTTTACTGCACTCCTGAACAGGAGAGATGTAGCTTTCTTTCTCATTAAGTGCTGCAGAGTCCCCTTGAGGCTTTTATTCGCCGCCACCCCCCAACCTTCCTCCTCAACTAGTGCAGCAGGTAGGCTGCCAGCTGATGGCACCTTTGTCTGAGAGGCTCTGCATGCTACCAGGAGACGTGTTTTCCTCCTCGCAGAAGCTTGTCATCTATCATTACTCGAGGTGGCCTTGAGAATGATTCCGGCAGACAGCTCCAGCTTACCGTCTGGGGGCCCAACATAAACAGCACACTGCTGGGCAAACAAGGGTGATGATGACCATTACTTCCCATGGTATGTGGTAAAAAAAGAAAACTTATTGTGTTGTGTTCCAGCTTAAATTCAGCAGGCAATGGGGTGTGTTTGATCATTTGGTTTTTGTCATTTTCGTACATTTTTAGTGGTAATGCTTTGCTCTCACACTCTGCTGTGATGATTTAGGGTACATTAACACCAAGAATGTCTGGAGTGGTTCAAACAAACTTTGGATCACTTACTCTTCTTAGTTAAAATGAGAAGAACAGCATTCAAAATTGGCTCTGCAACAAATAACCACACCAGGGCTGCCTGAAAATGCAAGTCTGTGTCCCATTCCAAGCTAAATGTGGTGCAGTTTGTTTGGAGTAAGAACAGTCACGCCAACTAATGGAAAAACCCAAACCACTCTGAGCTTTATGGGTACACGGAGACGGATGGTGACACCTTACAGCCGGCGGGTAACCACTGGCCATAAGATATTCCCATAGACATTTTAGATTAGCGGGTCGAATACAGGGTATCAAATAGTGGACCATAAAAGTTTAAACAGCTTTCTTATGATATTCATAGAAAGTGCACAGAAATACCAAATCTGAGACATTACATGCTATAGTCACTTATAGTTATAATCAGCTGCAACTCTGCAGGATTTAGAGGCCAAAACAATAGAGTTAGACTTAGAGATCATGACAGTGAAGTATTAAACTGGGGGGATGTGGATGTTCCGTTGTCCCAGGGAGAATAAAAATAGTACTTGGGACAGATAATACAGTGTCTGGGACAGTACAGAAATGTATCATTAGAAATTGAATTATGTTTATGCATCATGGAATATCATCTTAAAGTATTATTTTTTTGGCCTTTTATACCTTTATTTGACAGAGATAGCTGGAGAGAGAAAGGGGGGCAGAGAGAGGGGACGACATGCAGCAAGGGTCCGCAGGTCGGACTCGAACCCGAGCCGCTGCGTATATGGGTCGCCAGCTCTACCGACTGAGCTAACTGGCCGCATATATCATTTTAATTGTTAGGTGTTCAAATACGGAAATGTGAGGTGGTACCGGCACAAGGTTTATGTTTAGTTACACATGCTTACACACAAAAAAATCAATTAGAGAGAGAGACTCTCTCACTAGATTTAGTGGCTTTTCCGGCATTCTTAACTGTAATCCTAAAAGCAACTAGCAACAAATTTAACAACTTATTTCGACCACGAGGGAAAAGGTGAGAAATATATTCCAATATATTATATAGTAATTCATTCCAATTCATGCTGCTCCGAGTCATCGCAGTCCACAGCCCTTCTGCCTACTGCGTCGGGGTCTCTCCCTCTCCTCTTAAGCCGTGCGCAGGCAGTCAGTAGGTGAGGCTTGTGGGGCAGGTTTGACTTTCTCTCTCACTCGTTCTCTCCGTATATACAGCCTATATGTGAACAGTTAGTTTAAGCTAGTAAATATTTGAATAGTTTGATCTTCTTCCAGTCTTTGTTAATGTTTTTATGTTTTTTGCTTTAAATATACGATGTCTGTAGTGAGTTAGTGATTAATTGGCTAAATATTAATAATGTTCAAAGTGTGTGTATGTAAATTTCCATCATCGTACACCAATCAGAAACAAGTTTGCATTTGCACTGCAGTTTGCAGTGATGCATTTATTAATCAAACAGAAATGAAGAAGAAGAAACAGGAACTCAACCAAGGACTAAAAGAATAATGAACACTAATTGTGGCCAAATATCTAGGGTAATTAAATTTTTTTATTCAGATATGAGTCCAGGGAACAAATAGCAGAACTTCCATGGTCGACCAGAGTGAGTCGATGAAGTGATGCAAGTTACTGAAACAAAGTTATTATGCAGAATGAAAATAACAACTTCAATTTGGGACAATGGTTGTTAAGTCTGGGACAGTTGAAAGTAGAATTCGGGACAGTTGTGGGACACAAAAAGGGACAAAAATAATTTGTCATTACTGCTAAGGTAGGATTAGTTTGTAGATATTCACAACTTGTGGGCTACGGGCCAGGGTATGCTAAAAGGACTAGTTCCAACAGAATGTTGTTAAACTATGTTAGGCTGCAAAAGGGATTATGGCTGTTCCGGACAGCCACGCTCAAACTCAGGGTGCAAACCTTGCTGTAATTTAAAGCGACAACACACAATAATCAGCTAACTTTCAGAAAGTCTCTCATGGAAATCATTCGTACTGTTCCACTCTACAGCACGCATAAAAAGTGACACAAAAAAAAGAGAACTTGAGAAAGAAGCTCAAATGTTGAACCACACACTTAGCCAATCACATGGGTGAAGTGTGTGTGTGTGAATGTTGGGTTACAGAAATTGTTGGATGCAGCCTCAATCATCAAAAAGATGTTCGATCGTCTGAGAAGCCCTTCTGTTGGAGTATACTGGTGCCTTAATGACGAGGTAGAGAAAGCCTGGTGCACAAAGGCCTAATGTTACGCTCAAGTGGTTCTCATCAACTCGTATACTTCAGGAATTTTCAAATTTGCCACAAGAAGCTGCACTTGAACTAACAAAGTGGTAAATACCAGTGGTAAACAAATAATTCAGATTTTATGAGCTTTGTTATTTCACTCTAACACATGACGGACTACAGCCCACAGCATTGCACGGCGACATAACACAAGCTGCAGGTGTGATTCCTGGTGAGACTTTCAAAATGTATGCAGCACTACCGTTAATTTGCAAAACTGTGAAAGCTGAACGCAGCATGAACCCCGCCACAGCTCTGGACCACAGAGGCCACAGTATAAGCAGTTTTCCACAGCACACAAACCAAACAACACCGAATGATTTTCCACCTGAAGCCCCCCAGTGAGGGTTGAACCCCAGCAAAGAGCGCACATAATGAGTCCTGTTCATCAGTGATGCACTGACCCAGGACAAGCACACACATACAGACACAAACAGACACACAGACACACACAGACACAAAGCCCAACCCCCCCCTCCTCATGTGCCTGTGGCGCCCGCGCCTGGTCACCTCGCTCAGGGATCAAAGGCAGTATGTCGTTCTAATCAGTCCTCGCAGTGGGCAACCCCATTAATTCAATTCTATTTCATCAGTGGTGAGCGGACCACCAGAGGGGTCTGTACATTCCTGGGGTCCTGCGGTCCAGGAGTAATCCTATCTCTAAATGACCCAAGATCAGGCTCTAACTTCATAATTGCTTGGAGACCGACTTGGTCTTGCTTTCTGACAGAATGGCGAGATCTTTGCAGGGTGGAGAAACAAAGACCGACATAGCTCATTTTCTGGACACGGCAGGGATGTCAAGCATAATTAATGACGCCATATATCAAATAATTCCAGACGATCAACCCCCCACTAAACCAGGCCAACACCACAGAACACATACACATAGTAAGCTGTATCAAACAATCAAGTACTGCAAGATGCACTGCAAGATGCATTAAGATTGGAAAAGTGGAATTTGTCAGGTTATACTGGAGTAGAACCAATTTTACTTTGGATAAACTAATTATTATGAAGTATAATATTAATAATATTAATAATAATAATAATAATTACTAATATGACAATTGTCCAAAATAGTTTCTATGGGAAAACAAAAATGTACAATAAAATGGTGAGGCAGAATATGACTGACTAATTTTTTATTGTGCGTCTGTATCATGCTGTGTGGCTTGTCTGTGGTACAATAAAATGTTTATTGGGACATAAGATAATGAGCTTTTCATATCTTACCGTACCTTTGGTCTCTGGTGGATGGGGATGCTCATCACAGACAAATTAGATCTTTTGAGTATTGCCGTCTACACCTGCAGAAACAATAACAGTTGGTGAATATGGTGAGGCTTTAAAACAGAAAATGAAATGAAAAAGCCCATAAATCTGGCCCCAGTATTCTCGTGCTCACCATCTGTTAGTGACGAGAAACCATCATTCCTTCACTCAAAAGAATGAAAAAAATAAAACAACCCATTCAAGTGTGGAACAATCTGCATCAAGAGATTTATTAGTGTAATCTTTGGTCTGGAGAAGAGATAAATGACTCCGCAGAGACATGCGCTCCTCTCCAACTGTCCTGAGAGAACATTAGAGGTCAACGGCGGATAATTTGGCAGTGGAAAAGGTCAAACTGAAAGCATATGGTTGCAGTTAGGAGAGCTCTCAGGGATTGGGAATTGAAAATAAAAAAGGATTCTACAATTATATGCAAAACTGAAGGCTCTGCTCTTTTTAAGATGACGACAAAGGAGAGGGATTGCATGGGAGATGGCACTTCAAAGGCCCTCATTGTCGAACATTAACAACAGCACTGGTGTTCGTAAAAACAGTGATCATCTGACTCCTCTGCAGTGGCAGCCTTTGGAAGTCACCACGTCCCGCTCTTTGTGTACGTCTGTTTGTGTATGAAAGAGTCTCTGCTTCTGTTTGGAATCTGCGTACAAGGGCATTTTATTAGTCTGAATTATGACTTGATTGCAGTAAATGAAAGGAATAACGATCGATGTAGACTGAATCTTTAGTCTTAATAAAGTGTTCATCATTTGAATGTTTTGGTGATATCTTTTTCTCATTCCGAACGTACAATAGCCAAAATGTTAATGATATTTTCATTGCAGCTGATGACCTAAAAATCAATGTAAACGTCGAGTTTTCATAGAATCCCCTCACGATCAAAGAGCAAGGGGCTTTCTTTCTAGACTTAATAATCATACATACAACCAGAAATCCATCATAGATCAAGTAGAGATACAACTTTTTTTTCTCTAGAGCAGCCTTCATAAACCAGAATGCATTGCAATGTTGAACCTAAATCCTGTTTTTCTGAGCTGGAAAACCTCTCGCTCTGACTTCATCAGGATTACTGGGATTACTGCTTTTTCTCTCTCTACCTATACTTAAAGCCCACAGCTGAAATTCTCACGCACGTTTATGTACACTGTCTGGGGGCTCTCCAGAGTCATTCTGGGAAATGTAGGAAACATCTTACTGAAGTAGAAATAGATGAGGCAGCTTGAGGGAGAACAAAAAAAAAGGTAAATTAGATCCACTTCATCAGAATAAAAATAACTTCTGGGACGCATCGGTTGTTACAATTCGATGGAACGCAGCAGTCAAGGGTGGAATTTTTCTTCCTTTCAAACTCCCATATGCAACTGCATGAAAACTGTCTTTGAGCAAGGCACTGACAGGCTTTGACTGTGTTGGGCAGTTAGTCACACCATTTGTTTTTGCACAGGTTTTCATGACGTGCAGGTACATTTCTTTGCTCTTACTGTCTCTCCTTAAGGCATGCTGCCAAAAAATATTTTAAAAACGAGTGAAAAGTATCTGCTCTCCTTCAAAATAATACACTGGTGTTATATACAGTTCTCAGGATGGGCTACAGAATAGAGCCATATGTCTGAGGCAAAGCAGACAGGGAAACCTTTCCAAAAAAGTGAAATGTTATTGAATGCTCATTCATCATGTTTTGCTGACTCTACTTCCAAGTCACATACATCACGTCAAACTTAATAGTCTGTAGAACATGATTTTGACTGCATTTTTTCTTTTAAGATGAAAAATGGTGGATAAAGGCATGTTTCTTTATTCCTAAAAAAAAAGGGAAGCCTGATTTCCATTGTGATGATTGTGCAAGAATGGAAACAGCTACCTTGCCAAATCTTTCTCGAGAGGATGATAAAAGACAGTAGCTCGCTGATATAAGACCAATTCTTTCCGCCATCAGTTTATGGAGCTAAAAAGCGTCTGCTGTGGTACAGAGAGTCTGAAAAAAGTTATGACATATGGCTGTTTATGTAATGCTGCCAAAAAAAATACTAAGTGAAATTTCATTAAAAGTTAGTGTCCAACTGTGCATATATTGAAAATATTTAAACAAGTTGTAATGAGCATTACTCCAAAATACATTATGTTCTGTTGCCACCTGTCTTTATTATACGACAAAGTATGATAGTTACAACTGCTGAAAAAAAGACTGAAAAAAAAAAAAAACCACTGATAATACAACTTATAATGGCATAGAGCTCTACATAAATACACAAAAGAGCATGGTTTTAATGTAACACAAATTCAGAATACTGCGATACCAGTTATTACACAGAGCTAATTCACTATTTGGCACCCGGGTGTTTAAACAAAACCCGACATTTCTCTCTTTTTTACTAGAAACTGAGTTGAAACCCCATAGGAAAAATGTTTACTTTTCCATGAAATTAGAGATGTTTTCCATTAACTCCACACAAAGCAAAAATCATTAAGTACCTCATTGGGTTCTCCCTATAGATTTATATTTCCTCTTCCTCTAATTAACTACTAGCATATCCGTAATGACAAACATGCAGTTTGTGTCTAAAAAGTCACTACTGAATGACATTTAAAATGAGAAACTGTCACAGTAACTTATAAGTCACAGATAAATACTTCATAATAAGTGATGAATAGTCCCTAAAATTGAAAATATCAATGTTCTTTAAGGATCTAGATAAATGTGGAACAATTAAATAATTTTTGGGCTTTGCTACAGCATTAATACATTATAAAAGGAGTTTTTTCAATTTATTTCACACATGAAGCCACTCTCTCATATTCGAAGGATGTAAAGAAAAAAGTTGTACCACGCCAATTATTGTAAACTTGTCAAAATGAACCCCAGCAATAAATCATCTATGTAATTATCAATTGATTGAAGGAGCTATCTAACTGTGAAAAACACTTGGAAGCATGATACATCAATTTTAATGGCATTTCTTAATCAGAATGCTCAGCAATCAGCAGAGACCAATTAGGGCCTGAGAGATAGAGACCCGCCATTAATAATAAAACTTGGCTGCCATCACATTGCCTCCATTCTAAAAGACTGTTGGAGCCAATTTCAAGTGGACTATTCATTTCAGGCTGAAACTATTGTCTCAAAATTTAAGATAGTAGGCAAACAAAGCAAGGGCCTACTACTGAAACTGCAAAATTCGGTGTCAGCCAGACTGCCAAATGACCACTGACTGGCATAACTACAGTTTAAAGATTTCTCTCATAAAACCAAAAGGCTTCTTTTTCGAAGCGGCAATGAATTCATGTCCGGAGAGGGGGAATGGATAGGACTATCTTGCAAATGCTGAGAAATAGAAATGTCTACTCGGGAAAGCTATAAAATTACACAGAGGCCCACAGGCGCCGAGCAATGACAAAAGCTATCTTTACAATGCCACCTTCAGCCGCCGTCTTATTAACATTATGGTCAGTTTTATCGCAGCCAAATGTCTGTGTGTCTTTGAATACAAGAAACAGCCAAACTGCAACGCATAAAATTTACAAGCTGCACAGAGACCGAGCAGAAACATTGCCCTTCATGTGTGTCCAAGCAGGAGTTTACCTCTCACTGATTTTCACTGTTCATTTCCTTGGCTGCAGATATGAGCGGCAATAGCCTGACTTTTAAGTCCACTCCAATGAACTGTAAGGATATAAAGAGAGGTTAAGTAACCAGGGTTTTTTCATTTGAGCAGTGTGTCCCCCTATTTTTTTTTAACCCTATACACTAGTCACCAATAGTCCTATTTTGATATTTAGGTGACCCACTGACACTTTTTCATTTTAAGTCAATGTGACAACATACAATTTTCATCATTCAGTGTATCAACAGCAACATCTGGACCCCCCCTGACAGACAACACGAGCGCGTTTTAGCAAACAGTCTGCAAATAAAAACAGGCTGTTTTCATTATTATTTGTTGCCAGATGTCGTGCAGTAATTACTAAATACAATTAATGACCCTGGTCATTGTGCTGCAGGTATTTATACTGGGAAAATCGACTGCCAACATGAATTAATCAACACTGGAGTACATGCATCACAGCATTAGGTGGTTGGGATGGGGCCAATATTTTATAAGCTGTTCTAGTCCTTAGAAGAATACATTCAGGCTGAGGCAAACAGGCTGTAAATAGGGTGTTATTACAGATCCACATCACACCTCCTGCAAACACATGATTTATGTATCCTCTTAACTCAAAAGCCACCTTTCAACTTGCACTGTTGGGGTATGCAAATCAGACATGGCTGCAAGTAACAGTTATGTATACTTCTATTAACAGTGAACCATTTACATATTCATTCCTTACAGGAGACAAATGATTTAGAGATTTGCAGTTGCACAATGAGTAGAGCCCTCAACATAACAAAACATACTAGATGAGTAAGAAGCAGGGATATCACTAGATGCAGGCAAACAATGACCTGTCAGTTCTGGTTATTCTTTATATTGTATAATGGTCATTTAATGATTTCATAAGATTTCTTGGAAAGCCTGCTTGATATCAATGTTTTTTTTATCTAATAGGCTTTGTTTCCTTTTGAATACCAAGACAAATGATAAAATCAGGGCGAAAACACTTCACAGTGCAATTACTGTTGCACATAAACTACATACCACTGTTATGTAGTGGCACTACTCAAATGGCAGTGGCAATGCTCAAATAGTTTTATTGTAATTTCCCATGGTTCTGAGAAGAAAGGCAAAGGGGAAATGAGTTCAAGTGACTTCAGTGACCGGTGAAATTTGTTTTCCTCTTGAAGTAATTTGAAGTCTGGTTTGCCTCAAGCGGACAGAGCTGGTTTGAGTCTGACATTCCACCTCAAAACCTGTTCCAGCAGGCCTCTTTTTAAGCAGCGCTTCTCCTTAAGGCAGATTCAATTATTCAATTTCAAATAAATTATTACATAATACATCCATGTCCTTCTAAGCGCCAATGCACTCTCAAATAATGTCTGGTATATTCTGCATTTTTAACAACCCTATATCTAGAATAG